TAATCTTACCCTGGGGGCCGTAACACAAAAACCCTTATCCTAATGTTTACAGTAAATTACAATTGACATGGATATTCTCTACATTACAAAAATTGATTGAAACCTAATTTTATTGGATAAAAAAGGATATTTTGATTAAAAAACCGTGGAATCATGCAAAATGTTAAAAACAGTGTGTTGAAGATAATATTTCCGGGAAAAAAAACAGTTTCATAGGACAGGGCATAAACACCAGTGTTAAAAAAGGAATATAGTATGGTAAAACAGTTAAAAAACGTTTATTTCATGACATTATTTCTCAAAAAATAAGTACAGTTAAAAATATAAAAATAAAAAAAATAAAAAAATAAAAAACATTAAAAAAATAAAAAACATTAAAAAAGTTTATTGTACAATGTTTATAGTTCATATTCAATGGTAATGGTAAAAAGGATTCACATACAGAAGGTTAATACAAATTTTACAAAAGGAGAATTGGAAAGGGATTGACAAAACAAAAACATTCACAGACAGAAGGGTATAAAAGGAGGTGGAGTCAGCCAGGAGCTCATTCGGATTTGGAGCATTGAAGAGTAAACATCTCTTACCAGCCGCAGCACTGTGCATTACAGCCATATTTTTGCAGTAGTTTTTTGTGTGCCAAGCGCCTGAGGAAGACCCTTGAGGGGTTGAAACGTTGCGCGTACGGCACACTATTTTTTGAACGTTTTTGATTAATTAAATAAAGCTTTTGTTTTAATTTTTCTTTATTCTTTTTTCTTTCATTTTTTTCATTTGTATCTCGCCTCATAAAAGCTCAATTAAGAGTTATAATTATTTAGATAACAAAGGCGAACCCACAAGACCTACAACAATATACAAAACATACACCACAAAAACACATACACAAAAATTAGCCAAAGACTGAGGACCGGATGGCCTCAGCAGATTGGACCGTCGTCCGATACGGGAAAAGGCGGAGGCTTTCCCGTAATGTTTAAACTCTTAAAGTTCAAACTTTCATACAAAAATAAGTCCAGTATTATAGAATGAAATCAAAGGCACCCGCAGTTGCCTTTGATGGTGCAAAACGTTTCGCTGACATTGTTGTGTTTGTTGGGGAGAAAACTTACAAACACACAGTACAGCAGAGTCAGACTGCTAGCGATTGAAGATTTATGTAAATTTGACAAGTTGAATGCATTCGCTACTATACAGGAGACACGGTACACGACTGATTGACAATGGTCTATAGCCAATTAGGATGCAGAATAAAATGCATTGTAAAAAAAGATCCATAAAAAAAAATCTGCGAAACAGCAAGGCCGCAAAAGGTAAACCGTGTTATAGCAAGTGACCACTGTACTTTGGTTTCAGTCTACGTTCATAAATAAATATCATTTGACCTTAGGGAGACACTAGGGCAAATGTGGGAAATTCTTTTTTTCCAAAGGGTCACATTGAAAATTGAGCTGTGTTAGAGAGCCAAACCAACAATAACGTTAACTTAACAATGTTCAATATTAATTTTCTCCAACTGTAAAGAGCAGTAAATTATATATATTATATATAATTTACATTATGCTACTGGTAATTGAAAAATTCATTCATTCATTAAACTTTAATGGTCCCGAAAAGGAAATTATGGAGCTCAAGGATATTGTGTTTCAATAAATATATAAAATTATGAAGTAGGTCGAAATTACAAGTCATAAACAGGAAAACAATAATTACATCAGTATATCATTTTTTTAACACATAGCTAAGAAATGCTGAATAGTTGTTTTGCAAATGTAAGCATTAAATCAATTTTATGCAAAAAGCGATAAAGGCTTTAGATGTCTTTCTGTTCATTTTTTTCATTCAGTGAGAAAACTAAAGTCTGTCCTGCAACAAGTGTACTGATTTACCTGGACATAGCCCTGCAGAGTCCACCTAGTACTCTTTAATGAATGTCCATCAAAAAATGGTTTACTGCTTCTTTTAAGATTTTGTCGGATATGACATGACTTATATTGTAAGTTGTATATTGTGGATCTGTTTAGTTTAAAAAAAAAAATCCTTGTTGGTTTTGCAGTTTAGCATTCTAATCATCTGACTCCTTAACCCACTATTCATCAGACAAGTTCTTGTGTCTTTCTGCAACATAGTGATTCAAATTTTAGTCTTTGAACACAGCGACCTGTGCACTGCAAAATAAACTTTCAGCTTTTTCTTTGACTTCTGTAAATAAATATTTTACTGTCCATGCCTTGTTAGAAATGCGGCATTCGGCAATCTTTGTTTTTTTGCATGAGCTCATGTTTGACATGATAGTCATTAAGAATTCACCTGCATCCATACATAAATAAACGGCACACTTTCTAAATAAAAGGAGCACAGGGTGAATGGCATGAACTAGTTTTCATTTATCTTCTTCTTTGCAAGTGACCACACACCGAAGTGGAAAGGTCAAGAGGTCAGATGTGTCCCACCGGCCGTAAAATGTGCAGGCCTGCACTAGGGAGAAAAAGATCACATGTAGTTATGAGATTAGATAGTTAATACTTAGTCAATATTGAATCTCCTGAATGCACAGAAGGTTCTGACAGGGCAAAGAGTGAATTTGTCATGATTTACCATTTTATTAAATGAATACATTAATGAACTGTCATTTTTAACAGGGCAGAATATCCGTTCTTTTTTCTCATCCTCTGAGATAAACCCTTCATCCTACTGTAAGTAAATTCATCAACGCATGTTTTTCTCCAGGATTAACCCAAGCAGTACCCACGATATGTTGAATCATTTGTTTTTCAAATCATTTAGTCTGTTTTGTCATATTAATTTCAGATACTTTGGATTTGCAGGAAAAAAAAACCCACAGCACAGAAAATAATATCTGCCTTTCGTTAAAAAAAAATAAAAAATTACAAGACTCACTCTGACAATACATGCGTCTTTCACAGTCAATGCTTTGCATTGAAACAAATGTAATGACAATAATTACGGCAATATAATTTTAGCTACGTAGTATTTTTAGTAGAGTAGTAGTAAGTAGACCTTTCAATACAGGTAAATTATGATATGATCATGTTTTGTGTTTATTTATCAAGAAATTGTACAAATTTACAAATTTACTGTGGTATGAAAATAATTATGTTCAATCACAGATCACTGACACCGTGCGCAGTTGTCTCATCTAATTGGTTCTGTTTATATATGTATAATTGCAACTTGAAATGTAATTTTGTATCTTTATATTTTTTCTCTGTTGTACTCCAGCATCTATCTATAGGATTCTTCTGCTGGGGGAAAATGAGGACAAAATGATAAAACTCTGTAGCTTCTTAATGAAGGATGGAGAAATTCGACAACACAAGTCATCAGGATGCATGGCCTTCTATGGAAAGTGGGAAGGGAAATCATTAACAGTAGTGAAACCTCACAACATCTTCAGTCTGTCTGTGGAGAGAGTGAAAGAGGAGATGAAGAGCTGTGTGAGTCTTTGTCCTCCTGGACCAAATGTTCTGCTGTTAGTAAAACCTTCTGATTTCACCGAGGAGAACAGTAAAACTCTGAATTTCATCCTGAGTTTATTTGGAGAAGATGCCTTTAAACACTCACTGGTCATCATAACGGATAATGAGGGAGAGAATAATTCTGTGAAAAATATTCTCAAAAACTCCAAATTACAGCAACACAAAGTCATTCTTGACAAAGAAGATGTTCCAACCCGTAATCTAAAAGGGTTAATGCAAAAAGTTGAAAAGACAATGGTTGACAGAGGTTATTTAATGTTAAAAAAAGAACCTCTGAATCTTGTTCTCTGTGGAAGGGGAGGAGCAGACAAGGCTTCAGCAGCCAAGGCCATTTTAGGTCAGACAGAGCTTCATTCAGTCTCCAACTCATCAGAGTGTGTTAAGCATCAGGGAGAGGTGTGTGGACGTTGGGTTTCCCTGGTGGAACTGCCTGCCTTGTATGGAAAACCTCCGGAGGCAGTGATGGAGGAATCATTCAAGTGTATTTCCTTCTGTGATCCTGAGGGTGTCCATGCCTTCATCCTGGTCCTACCTGTGGCTGCCATCACTGATGAAGACAAGGGAGAGCTAGAGACCATTCAGAACACATTCAGCTCTCAAGTCAATGACTTCACTATGATATTGTTTTTAGAATCAACCAGTAAACCAAATAATGTTGAAAAGAAAATAAAAAAAGACAGAAACATAAAAGAGCTCTTTCAGACCTTCAGACCAAGACATATGGTTCTCAACATCAAGAAGAAAGAGCAGATTCCAGAGATTTTTGAGATTGTGGATGAAATTAAACTGACCACAGACAAACCAGGCTGTTATACAGTGATAACATTTTTACATGCACAAATGGAGAAAGTCTTACAGCAAGAGAAAACCATCAAGATGCAGAAAAATGAACTTAAACAGATAAACACAATCACTGGTAAGTATTGTAAATGAATACTTTTGATATGTAGTGTCCTACATCACAGTTTAGACCCAAACATATACCATAACAAATATAAAACTTTAAGGTAAGCACAATTGTTTCCATTTTTTAGGTGATGAAGGTGGAGAACAGAACTCAGACTGTCTCAGGATTGTGCTGATTGGGAAGACTGGCTGTGGAAAGAGCTCTACAGGAAACACCATTTTAGGAGAGGTCAAATTTAAACCTGTATTTGGTCAGATGGCAGGGACCAAATATTGTCAAAAAGCACACGGTGAGGTGGACGGTCGTCCTGTTGTTGTGGTCGACACTCCTGGTCTGTTTGATACAACTTTGACGAATGAAGATGTTCATGAGGAGTTGGTGAAATGTGTCAGTCTTCTGGCTCCAGGACCACATGTCTTCCTGCTGGTGTTACAGATTGGAAGACTTACAGAAGAGGAAAATAAAACACTGGTGCTACTTAAAAACTTCTTTGGGAAGAATTCCCAGAGGTTCACCATTATCCTTTTAACTAAAGGAGATGATCTGGAGTATAACAAAGTGTCTGTTAATGACTTCATCAAGAACAATTGTGCTGAGTCCTTTAAGAAGCTGATCTCTGACTGTGGAGGAAGATACCATGTGTTCAATAACCGTGACAAAGAAAACAAACAACAAGTCAGTGAGCTGATAACAAAGATTGACATCATGGTGAAAGAAAGTGGAGGAGAATTTTTCACCAATGAGATGTTGCAGGAGGCTGAAGCAGCAATAAAGAAGGAAATGCAGAAGATCCTCAAGGAGAAGGAAGAAGAGATGAATAGAGAAAAGGAGGAGATTAAAAGAAAATATGAGGAAGACATGGAAGAAATAAAAAAAAGAATGGAAGAAGAGAGAGAGAAAATGGAATAAGAGAGAAAAAAGAAAGCCGAGGAACTCAAAGAAATGCAGGATAAAATCCGGTTGGAACAAGAGCAGAGAAAAAAAGAACAGGAAATCAGAGAAAAGGAGAGAAGGGAAAAGGAAGCTAAAGAGGAAAGACTTCGGCAGGATTTTATACAACAACTTAACAATTTTGACAAACAAATAAAGTTAGAAAAAGAGGAAAAGAAAAGTGTGAGTACAGAGCTGCAAAAGAGTAGAGAAGAAATGAGAAAAGAAAAAGAGGCCTTTGAGAAAAAACTCAAAGATGACAAGGAAAATCAAAAACAAGAAGATGAAAAGAGACGACTGGAGGAGCAAAAAAGAATTGAAGACCTTAAAGAAAAGTACAAACAAGAAAGAAAAAAACATGAGGATCAGAGGCAAGAAGAAGATCAAATCAAAAGAACACAGGAGGAAAAAAAGAGAAAAATAATGGAAGAAAACCACCAAAAAACTCTTAATGATCTAAACAAGAAACATAGTGATGAAGCCAGAAAGAATGGTGAAAAATTCAATGAAGCCCAAAAGAAACACTTGGACGAATTAAAAGTTCAGCGGAAAGAGCATGAGAAAGAAATGTATGACTTAGTGCAACGTGTAACTAAAAAGGGTGAACACTTTAAAATGATCCAAGAATTAATGAAAGACCAGCAAAAAGAAATGAAAGCTGCGGAACATGATCTTGAAAAGAAAAGAAAGCTACAGGAAAAACATCAAGATCAATTAAGCGAGCTCATACAAAAGATTTTGAAACAGGAGGTAGAAACATCATGGTGCAGCATTTTATAAACAGTTTATGGTTATGTCTTATTTAGATATGAAGTAAAGATTTCATTGCAATTTCAAATGAAATTTTGTTCAGGTTAATCTTTCTTTTTTGCTATATAATAAAATACATCTAACGGTGCAAGGTCATTGTTATGAACCAAATTTCTAGCTGATACTGATATTTACCAGCAGAAATCTTAGATTACTTTAACTCCAAGATGTTCACTATATGATCTATGTTACCTTTTATCACTGATAACAGTGTACTGTGTTCTTAGTTTTTTTGTGTTTGTCTCACTTAAATATTTCAAATCATCAAAAAAATTAATATTTAGACAAAGATAAGATGAATAAATACAAAATGCATATAAGTTTTTAAAGCAAAACCCTTTACTTAATAAGAGAAATCAACCATACATGCCCTGTGTGAAACAGTCAGTGCCCCCTAAATCTTACAACAGGTTGTGCCAGTCTTGAGAACAATAACTGCAATCAAGGAATTTTGGCCTGCTCTTCTTTGCAGAGTTGTTTCAGGCACATTGGAGGGTTTTCCACCATGGACAACCTGTTTAAGGTCATGTCAGAGCATCTTAATTGGATTAAAGTCCGGGCTTTAAAAAGTGGGCTTGCTGGTGCGGTTCTGATCCTTGTCCTACTGCATAACCCGGGTACTCTTGACCTTAAGGACATGAACTGATGGGCGATATTCTCCTCCAGGAATTTGTGAAAGAGAGTAGAATTCATGGTTCCATCAATTATAGCAAGTTGTCCAGATCCTGAAGCAGCAAAGCAGCCCCAGACCATTGCACTACCAGCACCATGTTAGACTGTTAATATTATGTTATTTTATGAAATGCTGTGTTAGTTTTAGGCCAGATATAATGGACTCAAGCCTTCAAAAAAGTTCCACTTTTGTCTCAGTTAGTCCAGTATTATTAAAGTATAGTAATATTAAAGTATTTTCACAAAAGTCTTGGGAGTCATCCAGATGTTTTTTGGCAAATGTGAGGTTTGCCTTGTGATCTTTTCAGTCAGCAGTGGTTGTCTTCTTGGAACTCCCCTGTGGATGCCATTTTTGCCCAGTCTCTTTCTTATTTTTAAAACATGCAGAAATATGCAGATAATAAGAAATCAGGAAGGGGGCAAATACTTTTTGTCTATATCATGATTCTGATTTTTTCATTTTTAATTTTTTTTCTTGAAATGTTTAAGCAAATCAAAATTGAACTACACAGGTGTCTGTTTGATTTTGCAGAAAATCTGCAGAAAATCTTATGTTTATGTACTATTTGGTTTCTTATAATATGTTGTTTTCTTGGGAATATTTCTATCAGAGTTTTTTTGCTATGCTATTTCTTGTTTGTCATGTGTAATTAGCAGTGTGGGGACTAATAGGGTTAGGGTTAGGGTTAAACATCAAAACGTCAAATTTTACCATTAGGCATAAGTTATCTAGTTCTCTATACAACATGTATGAGTTTACGTAGATACTGTAGACAAAATGCCTTTAATACTTTGATTGTCTTGCTTTGTAAAATTTGAAATATTGATTTTTGTGAGATAATTAATTAACTTTATATATAATAATGATTATATTTACATAGTATGTTCTTTATCTGGTGTATTGATTATCATTACAAAAATATTAATAAAGTTGTTAAATGATTAAATTGAACAAAATTTTGTGTTGTGGTTTGTCTTTTGTGTTCTTTTAGTGCCCTACAGTTTTAGGAGATGCAACAAGAGAAAATTGTCCTTAAAAATTGCCATTGTAGCTCTGAGCATTACAAAGTTAAATTACTATTCGTTTCAAAGCCTGTGAAATGTTGTTAAAAATGAGGTTGTCAGTCAGCGGTGTAAATTGGACTCAGCACACACTCAGGAGAGTTAAAAGTCAGTGCCTTCATTTACACTGAGAGAAAAAAAAACATGGCTGACATCAAAGAAAACAAAGACCTGGAAAGAGTTTTAGTTTAGAAACATCAAAGATATTCTATATTCTCATGTCCTGGGAAAGCTGTGATTGAAAAGACAGGGTTACTTCCTGGTGCGTTCTTTTACATTTGAGAAGCCAATTGATTCTAATAATAGATTAAATGTCATGTTGACGCTGCCATTTTTAGCATCTACATGGATGTTAAAATTACCCACCCCCTGTTTCTCTTTAAACTTTATTGTGTGAGGCATTCACACTATTATGATCCTTTTTCTCTTTGCACTTTGTGTGAATGCTATTGAGTTCCTGTTTCTCTTTATTCTTTATCCTTTATTCTAGTTGCTTCGTTTGCGCTTTTTGGACTTTAACTACTTCCGCAATTTCTGGAAATGGTTGCTATGACTTTTGGTACTTATTTCTATTACACTTTTTAAAATATTAAGCTTTTTATAAAATTTTATGTCCCATTGAAATAAATGGAAAACTTCCAAAATTCTGCTAAAACTTGCTTGTTTTTGAAACTTAACTACTTCCTCATACTTTCCCATAGAAACTCCATTTAAACTTTAAAATGTTTTCAAATTAATGGGCCATTCATGTCTGATTCAACTTTTTCATATCTATTACTGTTTTATTTTTATCCCACTTCAAGTTTTCAGTTGGATCATTGGGATTTTTGAGAAAATACATGCGTTTTTATTGTTGCTATGCAGTTGGCTTTGAGTGGGCTACTGGACCTTTCAGAATATTCTCTTCATGTTCAAACAACTTCTTGCTACTCGCTCCATTTTCACTCAACCCTCACAAATTATACATCAAAATGTAGATATTTTTGCTGTCTTTCAGACAATATCACTATGATTGTTGTGGAAATTAACCCTTTAAGACCTACCATAGAACCAATTCCGCCAGAGCTTTTATTATATTTTTACATGCTGTAGTGCCATTTTTGGGAGCATTTCAAGTTGCTATACATCAATATAACCATTATAGCCGAAATTTTAATAATATGTATTCATTAAGTGCATAGCAATTACATAAATTGCAAAAAAGTGCAATAAACAAGTGTTTTTTTTAACATATATTTCTAGTTAGAGAAATTTAAGAGGCTCATCTCTCAAAACTGTAAATACAAAAAAGTTGCACAAAATAGTTTCCCACCACAGGAAATTAATTTTGAGTATCTTCATAGTTTTATTTGTGAAATACACCAATTTTTATATACTGCAGGAAAAACGAAAATAAATATGATAGTGCAAATTTGCAAAAAAACAGCATATGCATCAAAACAAACTATCTCCAGCAGTGCAATATGAGTCCTAAGCATCCCAGAAACGACACCGAAAGTCATAAAGTCAAAGATAACTTTTAAAAACAACAGTATAGGCTCATGAGGCCCTGATAGTAAAAAACTACATTTCCGCAAAAATGACGTCACTTCTGGTTTCGGGCAGGTAATAGCGGACATGAGACAGTTTGCTCTGATATCTATTGCACCGTAGGAAGTGTTATGAACAGCTGATCAGATCGGCAAAGTGTGTTTCTGGAATATTATGTTTTTGTTGCTGCAAGTGCTTTTTATGCAGTTTTTGCAATGCTATATGTGGAAGGAAACTGTGACCTAGGACAAGCTGATGGCATAAGATGTAAGTACAACTCCTCCAGTTTCATATGGAAAAAAATTTATTGCGCTAGCTTATGTGGTTGCAGTGCTACCACGATTTAAAAATAGTTACGCAAAACAGAGTGTGCCCGCTCTGACCGGTTTTAAAGGGTTAAAGATTTTTGGCAAATCTCCTCAGAGCAACACAAAGTCTGAAAACTCCCCATAGAAACTCAGTGGTGAGTTTATTCAAAATCACCGCTGGGATTCTCTAATGAGAGGGATTTTCGAATCGTCATATCTCCTTAAGAAAGCGAAGTTAAGACATGAGGCTTGTGCCAATATATCTTCAGATACTCCTGATGCTCACAATTCAAGATTTTTTTTTAAATCACCTATTACCGTTTGGCCATTAATTACATTTGTTTGAGGGTAGGCAATTCGTCCCTCGCTCAGATTTCTACAGATTTCAAAATCTGGAAACGAGGCACTTTTTTCTCTCGTCATATCTTTTTGATGGATTTCCACAGAGATCTGGAAATTTCCATGACTGTTCACCAAAGTGTGCTGTATCTTACGTTGAAAGATTGATGCTCCAAATAGATTTAGAGTTACAAAACATTGTTTGAGGGCAAGTCAAGGCAGTTTTCGCTTTGCCTCTACTCAGTTATGGTACATTACAAGTCATATATCTTTGACAATTCATATTTTATGGTATTTTAAATGGTCAACACGTGTAGATTCCCTTTCACTTTTACAGCAGGGCCGGCTCCAGGATCTAAGCTTTAGGAGGAATCAGCCCCAGTCATGATATGATGCATGCAGTGGATTCCAGTTTAAACATAAAGAAAACAACAAATAATTAATAAATAATGTTAGCATCAGCTCGGAGCTGAATCCACTCGTGTCCCATTACAGTGTTTGTTTCCATAGGAACATAATTAACTGGACGTCCAAGAATGATCCAGAATGAATAACTACTATAGATGTTTATTTAATGTCGTGTTTCGGGGCAGAGCCTTTAGTTGTGAAACTTGGGTCAAAGGCTCAGTCGTGATTATTTTTCCAACAAAGTTAAAGAACGATTTACAGCAAAGCAGAAAAGATGAGAAACGTTGTTTCAGCCTGTCAACACGGAGACAGCCCAGCATCAGGCACTTACAGCATCACGACTCTGGATGATGCTGGACCAGCAGACTGACACCGCACACACAGTAGTTTACACAAGCACCTCCCCTCATAACTCCCCCTTGGTTACAAAGACAAGGCACTGTGAATGTGTGTGTGTGTGTTTGGGGGTGCGTTTGTGTGATCTCCTGCTCACCAAAAGGATCATAAAAGCAGGAAGCTTACAACACAAGAAACAGATCTTTCAGATAGGATGTGCTTACAATAAAACCTCCCCCAGCACCAGAGTGGCTGGAGAGGTGGTCAGTTTTGTTATTTTTATTCTCCAGATTATTCCTGTGTAGTATATTCTCAGCCATGCACCACTTTCTTTTGACAGTGTAAGTGTAGATTTCAGTAATACACAACTCCTCACGTCATTCACCTCCTATTGCAGCAAAAGTTCACAGTTAATACATGTTCTAAACGTGCTTAGCAATCATCCTACTTCTCATTCATCTCATACACAGTAAACTACATCCCACAAGTAAACAAATGAATGTCAACACTCAAACAAGAAGAATCAACATTCTCAAAAGAATATGCCACTACAATCCAAACGTATACAGACATAGGCATTCAAACACATCAGTTGATTTTATTGTTTGTCCATGTGGCTTTCAGCTATCTCCAAAGCTGTAGCTTGGTCAACACTCCTCTTTATGACCCCTATCAATCCCCAAATTTTCTCACTGCAGGCATCCTGTGGGGGTTAGAGTCAACTTTTGAATCATCTGCAATTACAACTCTTCTCCTTTCCTGTTGTAACTCTAGGTGTTGGTGGGATCGTTGAGAATTTGGTCACCTTCTGTCTTCCCTCAGTAAGTGTTGGTTGGTATGAGGAGTGAAATGCACAGTCTACTGCTCGCTGAATTTCATCACTTGCACACGTGGCATTCATCAGACACGTCAGGCACTTAATTCCGTTCAACCGAGGGCAAAATGAATAGGTGGCATTGCACAAATTCCATGATAAATCCCCAACTTGGACTGACCCATTGCTCTTCATACACATGGGTAACTGGCCTGCTTCCAGTTTGTTTAGCAGTATTATGTCCGGCAGCGGGTCAGATACTTAGCGTCAGGCTTACAGGTCTGTCTTACCAGAGCAATTTACCTTCCCAGCTACTGGTGAATCAATCTTTCCATTCAGGTTCAGGGGAGTTGAAAAGTTGGCAGTGTTCCAAGTATGTCTTACTCCTGGTTGTGTTGCTAAGGCAAGCAAACAAACTGTCTCGCTCTCTGTGATGCTATATGGTCACAGCCCGGAAGAATGTGTAGACACTGGCATCACAAGCATAACAATTGGTCTTGTTGTTTATGTGAGCAGTTGTGTTCATAAACTGCCACCAGTAATTGGTTGAAAACCCATGCGGGTACTGGGTGTGGTTTGCTTTGTCCCAGTGCGCTGCTGCCCACTCAGGGCTAACAGGCTCAATGAGCTGCACAGCACATTCCTAGCCATTCTAAATTGGGTTCTGGACCCGCTGGTTTCTTCACCAGGATTGAGACGGAAGGCCCTAGAGACTTTCTCCCCCCTTTGCACCCTGGCCTTTTCACCATTACCCAGAGTTGGCCAGGAAGTGTGTTACCTTCTTGCAGTGGGCTTGATGCATCCAAATGGGCCTCTCAACAATCTTCACTGCTCTCGGCGTCATCAGCAGCACCTGATAGGGAGCTTGCAACTGCAGACTGGACCAGCACTTCCTCTTCATGGCCTTTATCATACTTCAGGCTCTGCTCCTGTGGAGAAACAGAATCATCTGGCAGATCATTTGTTCTCATGACTTCTTTACTTTTTAACATTTTAAGTATCCAATCTGCTAATGTGTTCTCTCTTCTGCTTTTCTATCATCACTACAGAATACTGGAACTATAAATAGTCTACCATATATAATCTCAAAGGGTGTCAGACCATTCTCTGTTGGAGTGATCCTCATGTACATCTTGACTAATTCTATACAGTCTAACCATGTCCTGCCTGTCTGTTCCATTGTTTTCCTAAGTCTTAGCTTTACTGTCCCATTAGTTCTCTCTACCAACCCTGCACTTTGTGGGTGATATGAATAATGATGTTTTAGTGTTATCCCTAGATGCTGTGCCATTAACCCAATCACTTCATTTACAAAGTGTGGGCCATCATCACTATATAGAGTCTCTGGAATCCTGTGTTCCAGGATGATATTCTTACATATTGCTTTGGCAACTGAAATTGCATCTGCTTTCCTAGTTGGGACGATTTCTACCCACTTTGAAAAAGGGCACACTATCACTAGCAGTACTTATAGTTATTATAGTTGGACAGCTCTATAAAGTCCATGTGAATAACTTGAAACGGGTGACTGGGTCTGGGTAATTTCCCTGTCTTACGTCTCAAATTACCCTGAGAATTGTGCTTGCAACATATCATACATGACCTGCAAATTTTTTTTGAAAAAACATTAAATCCTAAAGTATGAAAATGTTGCTCTACTAGATGCCATCATCCCCCCAGTTTAGACATGGCACCGCGCATGACTCAAAATTGCAGCAGTCTTATAAAAATTCTCAGGCAGTATTGGTTTATCACATAGATAATAAACATCATCCTGCAAGTTCGCTCCTTTTGTGAACCACAACTGTTATCCTGCCTTATGTACGTGGGCCTGCATGTCTGCCAATACATCTCGTGTTATAGGAATGTCTGCTGGTGTTGTACTGCTAAAATGTGAACACCATGTGCCCCTAAAGTTGCCTCTTTTGCGATCTTATCTGCAAAGGCATTCCCTAATATGACTGGATCTTTCCCTCGGGTATGTGCTGCACCTTTACAAACGGCAATTCTACTGGGCAATAATACTGCTTCCAGCAGATTTTGTAGGAGTTTGGCATGTACAGGTTTCCCTGTAGAGGTTGTCATACCTCGTTTTGCCCACTGCGCTGCAAAAAAAATGTAATGTAGCAAATACATATTGGCTATCAGTGTATATTGTCACATTTTGTTTCTCCGCAGCTTTACACACTTCCGTTAAAGCTATTATCTCTGCTGCTTGAGCAGACATGGAACATGCTAGTCGTCCTGCACGGATAACTTTCTCATTATCTACTACAGCAAAACCTTTTTTTTTGCCTGTCCCTCTGCCATCCCTTGGCTTACACTCCTTCTCCACGTGCTCTCTACACTCACGAGGAGTGCCCTCTTCCTTCCTCGGCAAAAGGGTTGACGAATTCAGAGTTGTGCACCGCTTCATGGTTTTAGTAAAACCATTTCCCAGAACATTGTACAGCTTGAGCCGCTGCACAAACTGATCTCACACATGGAGGTAAAGCACAAGCAACTAGATCTAATCTTTTAGATTAAGTTATTGGCTTCATTTTTGGGAAAAGTGCTGTTAGTTATTTCACAGTCACCTGGCATTTGTGCTGTTTACAGAACCACAAGTCCATCGCTGAAATTCCTCTCTGCGTCGTCGGATGGAGCTTGGCACGCTCCATCATGCCTCAGGTTCTCATGTTCCAACACCGTGGACAATTTAAGGCAGAGCATGTCGTACACCTTAGTTGTCTTCCTCAACGTCAACATCAAATCTCTTTCATTTTATTTAAGATTTTACTGTGCGAAGTCTCCTCATGACGATCTTCTGAAAGCCCAGTAGCACAGCTCTCTGTGGGTTATCTGCTGTGCTGAAGATGATCTCTGACCCTCCTGAAGCCTCTCTCCTGGCCTCAGCTTCCATCTTGTGGACGATCCTCTCAGTCACTCCTTCTTGTCATGGCACCTGACGACACCTGCAAATTAAAAATTGACACTCCTCTTGTGGCACACGGCTCTGGCCATGTATCAACTCCACACAATGAGACGTGCACAGGAATGTTGCACATTCTCTCTGAAAAAAAAAGTTCTCCAGGGTTTCCCTCTTGGAGCAGCTCCACTCCAAACCTTTAACCCTGTGTCAAAACATTAGTCAGAAGTTAAGTGTTAAGATTTGTTTAACTCCCAGCTCCACCCGGAGCCTGTATCCTAGAAGACAAAGTCTTTAAGTTAAAACAATCACAAATTTCAAACAACTGTAGCTCATAAGAGTAATAAAGTATTCCGCATCACAGAGACAAGGATCATTGCAAGTTTATTCTAAACTCATTAAGCCCCTACTTTTTTCCATAATTTGCTCCAAATCATTGAACATCTCAACGTCATTCCACATTGCAATCAGTGACTTTCCTTAAATTTGTCACTCACTCATTTTATTACTATGAACTCAATAGTGGTCAGATAATGAGACCCATATTAAGTTTGTAAAGGATTCAGCACAGACAAGTGATAAGTGAACAAATGTACAGTGGTTACAGAATAGAGGTGCTGTAAAAGGTTATAAAGTTAACACTCTGCTGTAAAAAGAAGTAATACTGGTTTAAAACACAGTATCACACTGTATTCACTTTTTCCGCTGTAACATTCACATTTTCTCCAACATTTTCTCAACAACACAGTGTAATTTCATCACCAACATATAGCCTGTAACTACAGTTTCCTTCACACACAAAAACTCGGTAATCCTGTGGTAGAAAAACATTATTAAGTTGTGTGTCCTGCTGTAAATCACATGATCAAATCACATGATTGACCCTTCTGCTGTAGAAAAGTAATGTAAATGTTAGCGCTGCGCAGGTGTATACACACTTTCTCACAGTGACCTCTGTGAGCAACACAAGGTGATGAATAACACACCCTGGTAAATTCAAAAACACCCAGAAAAACTACAGCTAAAAAGTTTACATTTGCAGAGTTCACATAGTCATGTGACCCAAGTTTCCTCCTCTGGTCTCCTCCTCCTCCTGCAACAAAAGACACACAGAGAGATACACCCACACCTTTGCTAGGTGGGGGTTAACTTCGCATAGTGGTGTTAAGTCAGTCAAGTCTTGTCAGCTTTTACCAGCTTTTACCAGTCAGTCAGTTCCCCATTTTTTTTTATTTCCACTCATTATTCATTCATTCTTTCTGTCTTTATTTCTTTAGGGTTAGGGGAAATTTTAAATATTCAAAATATAAATAGTTGATAAAAGGTTTAAAAATCATATGCTTGGGTACAAATGTATTTCATCTTCAGTTAAGATGTCCAATAAATAAAAGGGTTTCATGACTTAGAGTTCATTTACTGTTCATTTATTATGGAGTGTAACTTAATATGTTTACCCATCTAATGTCAGTTACCTTAAAGTTATATTGTCATTGGTTGTTGTGCTGACGAACCAGTCAATCTCACTCTTCTCTGTTATGGGTGTGGGACGAGTGGTAAGTTTGTGTGCATCTGTGGGAGTGGTAAATCATACCAAACCTAATTGGCAGGTTATAATTAGAACAAAAGATTAAATCAATAGATGCTGCTTACAGAGTTTTAATACAAGAACATATAATTAGCAGTCTTAGAAAACTAGGTGAAAGTGGAATTAAGTGAAATCATTGACAAGAAGACACCATTCCTGGTGTTAAGGCTGCATTTAGGGAACTTTGAATATGGCAGTATATCTGTAAAATTCCTTTGCAACCAATTTAAGCTAAATAAAGGAAAACAACTATTTATTTTATTAGAAACATCACCTATAATAAGGGAGCATTCAGTGCAGAACAGATGGAGATGCAGACAGAGGGTGTTTCCCAATTCAGGATCTACATCCTTGGAGGACGCAGCCTTCCCGGTCTACAAGAGCCGTGTCCTCGAAGACCGAGAAGGCCGGAAGTGCAAGGCTTGTGAAATGGGACGGTCTAGCCTCTGTCGCGTTGCTCAGGTTGCCTAGCAAGCATGATACTAACCACTGGAAATGTTTCAAACAGCATTGTTTGACAGAAATAAAGGAGAAAATCTTTTGTTCATCTGTTTGTTTTTATACGTGCTTTGTTTGACTTAATAAGTATCTGAGGCTGAGACCACAAGACTGTAAAACATGATTGTTGGGCTTCATTTCTGTACTGAACAGTCATTTTAAGATTAGCTAGTAAATAACAATTAGCTAATGTTGTTCATAAGACTAAAGTCATCTCACTTTGGTAATATAAATACAATATGGCCAATATTAAAGTTATTACCATATTAATCAATATTAGTTATTACAGCAGTGAGCTTGAACTAATAATAATAATGGATTGCATTTATATAGCGCTTTTCAGGACCCCTCAAAGTGCTTTACAATTCCACTATTCATTCACTCTCACATTCATACACTGGTGAAGGCAAGCTACAGTCCCTGTGGCAGAAGCGAGGCTGCCATATTGCACCATCGGCCCCTCTGGCCATCACCAGTAGGCAGTAGATGAAGTGTCTTGCCCAAACGACCGAGACTGTCTCAGCTGGGGCTCGAACCGGCAACCTTCCGATTACAAGACGAACTCCCAACTCTTGAGCCACGATCGTCGAACTCTGTGTCAAAGATTCAAGTTGCAGTTATTTATATTTCCTATCACCTTAAATCTTCACTCAAAGACAAGTGTCTTTGACAGTGTATATATAGGTGTATTATATATAAGAGACAGACATTGTTCTTTTAATATGTTGTCATTAGTAAATTTGGCTCCATGCTTACATATATGTGTAAAAAGGAAATGTACGAGCTGTGATAACTGTTTCTGATAGAATGAAGAGTAGACTGCAAAGTGGCTTGCAAAAGTATTCGGCCCCCATGAACTTTCCCACATTTTGTCACATTACAGCCACAAACATGAATCAATGTTATTGGAATTCCACGTGAAAGACCAACACAAAGTGGTGCACACGTGAGAAGTGGAACGAAAATCATACATGATTCCAAACATTTTTTACAAATAAATAACTGCAAAGTGGGCTGTGTGTAATTATTCAGCCCCCTTTAGTCTGAGTGAAGTCAGTTGCCCATAGACGTTGCCTAATGAGTGCTAATGACTAAATAGAGTGCACCTGTGTTTAATCTAATGTCAGTACAAATACAGCTGCTCTGTGACGGCCTCAGAGGTTGTCTAAGAGAATATTGGGAGCAACAACACCATGAAGTCCAAAGAACACACCAGACAGGTCAGGGATAAAGTTATTGAGAAATTTAAAGCAGGCTTTCTCAGGTTTCGGCTGTGTGCAGGCAAGAGAGGGACCCACACGCAAAACTCACCGAGACAAAAGTGAACTCAAAACACTGCTTTATTGCAGGCTTGAAAAGGAAACAAAGAACAAAACTAAACTGGGAAAACTACAAATAAATCATACATGAAAACACATGGCAAATCACACAGCTATGCAGTAGCGGTTTTAGATATGGGTGACACGGGCGGTTGCCCGGGGCGGCATCGTGGTGGGGGGCGAAAAGAAGAAAGAAATTCCTCGTACTCATGCTGCCCCGACATCAGCCAGCGCATATTGGGAATGGTACAAGCACCGATCAGTTTTCTATCGCCCATTTGCTGGGAGTAAGGGCGCCCTCT